GAACCACGGCTACAACGAACTAAAACTAGTGGTCCCTTTGAGTCCGTTATAACCGTAGTTTACTGTAATACGAAGTTGTGTGATGGATGTTCCCGATAACGTTTCGACACAGGACCATGTATTTATGTCTCCGTGTGATAGCATGGACTGTATTGTAAACAGTACGTATACATTGTAACTATATTATACCATTGCTAATGAACATCATTTCACGTTAATTGTATTGCTAAATTATGCATAAATATTCCAACATGGTGGTTTGTAGATACAGTAAACTACGTTCATAACGAACACGCTTATAACGAACTGGCGGATATAACAAACTGTTTTTTTGGTCCCAGCAATTTGTTGTAGATATGCTGTATATATGTGTATAACGAATTACGGGTATAACGAACTGAATTTGTGGTCCCTTTGAGTTCGTTATAATCTTAGTTTACTGTAGATTATTATGGTTGGTTGGTTTGTTGTTTAACGCCGCACTCAGCGATATTCCAGCTAAATGACGACGGTATGTAAATAATCGAGTCTGGACCAGACAATCCCGTGATTAATATCATGAGCATCGATCCACGCAATTGGGATCGATGACATGCATCAACCAAGTCAGCAAGCCTGACAACCGATCCCGTTAGTCGCCTTTTACGACAAGGATAGTCACCTTTTACGGCAAGCATGGGTTGCTGAAGACCTATTCTACCCCGGAATCTTCACAGGTCGTAGATTATTATGAATAAAAATTATAACATTTCTCATTTTCTTGTCTTAATTTGTTCATTTCTATTGTGTATCTGTATATAACAATGTGTGAAACTTATTTCCGGTGTCCCCCGCCGTGATATTGCTGTATTATTGGCGGCGTAAAACAATACTAACTCAAAGTGAATATACATTGTACTACAGTGTAGCGTGCACGAACAGTATGTTCGTGAGCATTTTACGGGCGCTTGAATCAATGCGCATCGGCATGAGTCACTGAACTGTCATTTGCATATTACATATAATTTCACCAGAAATATTTATCTGTGAACTAAAGGTTCCTCTTATGTGATATCGTTCCTATTTTGGAAATCGAATTACATTGCGCATACTACATAGAACGTTGCGAAAAATATATCCGGAAGTCAGAACATCAACCTTTCGCTCGTGTTGGGGTATCACTTCAAACGTAAATACTCTATTGGCTGATTCTGAAAATACGATTTGTGACTGGTTGAAAATTGTTCTTAGGTTATATCAGATCACGTGTTACTTTAGGCCTTTCAGTATCACTCGATAGCGACATTCAATACAACTCAATTACAACGATTAAAGAAAAACCTTGGTATTTAGTTTGTTTGTTTATTGTGGGATCGGGTGGTCAGGCTCGCTGGCTTGGTAGATGCATGTCATCGTATCTCAATTGCGTTGATCGATGCTCATGATATCAATCACTGGATTGTCTGGTCCAGATTCGCTTATTTACAGCCCGCCGTCATATAGCTGGAATATTGCTGAGTGCGACATTAAGCAACAAACGAACAAACAAACAAACACTACACACGTTAATAACTCTCTCGACACTCAGAATCACAGACCGTCTCCGTGGTCTAGTGTCCGCCCGGAGAGCGGAAGGTCCGGGGTTCGATCCCCGGCCGCGTCATACCAAAAGACGTTAAAAGATGGTACTTATTGTTACCCTGTCAGGCGCTCGGCATTAAGGGGCTAAAACAAGGACTCGTAGGCTCGGAATCAGTATACTGTGTCTGAGTTAAACTGCGGCATGGTATCTCAGTGGGCTAGCACTTTAAATCGGCATCAGTCCGGACTAGTACAAGCAGCCACACACACACACGTGCATGCACGTCGCTATATATGGGGCGGTCGGGTAGCCAAGTGGTTTAAGCGTCCGCTCGTCACGCTGAAGACCCGGGTTCGATTCCCGACATGGGTACAATGTGGGAAGCCCATTTGTGGTGTCCCCCGCCGTGATATTGCTGGAATATCGCTAAAAGCGGCGTAAAACCATTCTCACTCACTCACTCGCTATATAAGTGCAATAATCTTGGACGCGACGTTAAACCCAATTTCCCCACACCTCACCTCAGAATCACATGTTTAAATTTGTTTGTTAAAATAGCTGTTATAAGTCATGCTCTCGGGGTTAAAAAACAATGATGTTTGTCTGTCACTTCGCGGTGATGTTACCTATAAATAGATCTACAAAGCAACACCTTCTGAGGTCTTAATGTTGGTGTAAACTCCTGAATTCTTTCCTCGTCAACATTCCGAGGCATACGCATTTGTATTATGCGTTTTCTTGGACACTTTATTTTCGATAAAAATCCCAGCTTATATTTTTGTATTTTTGTTAAGTCTGTAGAACAGGGTGGCCCAGTCGTCTAAGGCGCCGCGATTCGCTGTGCAGGGTTGCGTCCCTTGGGCACGCCAGAAACCTATGTTTGTGGGTTCGAATCCCGGTTCGCCCCGATTATGTTTCTAGGTTTGTCAGCACCATACCCGTGTTCATGGGTTTCACCGAAGTGGTAAACGTCTGAGACCTGCATCACTTCGGGCTTTCCTCCCACATTAAGCTGACACGCCGCGATATAACTGTAATACTGTTAAAAGCGGCGTTAAACCCAACTCACTCACGCACACACTGTAGAACATTTTTTTTTTTTTTTACAATAAACATTGCAGATTTGTCAATAGTCGAAAATATTCAGTGGTTGTTTATATCTTTTAAGAAAAGAAACATAATATGGCTATTTCGCAATACAACACATGGTCTTTTTCATCAAAACATTGAACCTCATCTGAAATTTTGAAGATATATTGATAATTGGTGGCCATATTGGATTATGCAAATTAGACATATTTCCCAAACTGGGATTGCTTGGGACTTTTAGTATGTTGTTTTGGGGACCTTATAGAAATGCATTGTGGTGAAATAAATTCTGTTGCAATTTGTTCCAAGTGTCCTTATGTGAAATTTACATTCAAATTTACTACAAAATGTACTCCGTTTTGCTACGCTACACAAGTGAAACCTTAATTTGTTCAAGAATTAACTTTCACTTTGTGTTAGTTCATTGGAGTATGAATCTTCAGGGAGTGAGGGCCAAACTGTATCTACATACAATGTTTGACCCTCACACTCACACAAAGTCAAAGTCAATTCTTACAATTTTTATATCACTATTTTATACCTCGAGGGAGCGCTAGGTCCACACGTGTGGCTTAATGCTAGCACTGGCAGACATATAACAACCAGCTGTATCGCGGAATAAAATAGATAAAAAAAAGGAGAGGTGACGTGAGAGTATGTATGCTCAACTTGCTTTACAAGAACACCCGCTGTAAGTCTCAAGGGATACGTACAAAATGTCCGATTGTTAATAGTTTGACCTTAGCCCTGGCACAATGTATTTAGATACACGTATAAAACGATCTGGTCATGCACATACTGAAATTGACTGAAGTTTTATCTTTATTCAAACATGAAAACATGGAGGAATGGGTGGATAGTCATAACGAAATGCGAATATTAGTTTGTTTGTTTGTTTGTTGTGTAACGTCGCACTCAGCAATATTCCAGATATATGACGGCGGTCTGTAAAAAATCGAGTCTGGACCAGACAATCCAGTGATTGAAATCATGAGCATCGTAGTGACTTGCAGTGTAACCATATAGTTCGAGATCATTTTTTGTCATTAAACAATATATCACATGACTAACCACGGGTCCGGGTAGTCCTGTGGGTACCCGGGTCCTTCTAAATACCCATTGGACCCGAGTATCCAAATTACCCGTCCTACAACTGCTGCTACTACTACTACTACTACTACTACTACTACCACTGCTGCTACTACTGCCTGGTCCAGACTCGATTGTTTATAGACCGCCGTCGTAAGCTGAACTATTGCTGAGTGCGGCGTTAAACAAACGTACTTCTTCACGCGTGACGCCCCGAGTTGCATCCGTTATCCGTGCAAGGATAAGTTCACGTGCTTTTCGAAATCCAAATTTGGTTTCTGAGCACCATGGACGTGACGGCGTCAGTTTTAACCCTGATGGGGGTAAAATGTGGGCCAAATTCCTTTCCAAAGATAAAAGAGTCTCTGCCATGTTGGCCTCGCAAGCCATGTTGTTTCACCACAGATGTATAACATCCACACAATCGGCCCTTCAGAACGCCAAAATACACCAACGTAATCAGAAATATTAATGAACAGACACTTTCGGAAACGTCGTTAAAGGGATTTTGACCCCGAAATCAAGGCTAGTCTTCGTCAATACAAAATCAGATTTGCAAAAAGTGAAGTGTTGAACCTTGTGTATTGATCTAGGAGTCGGTAATACTGTCCAAACTGAGGCCCCTTCAAGTCCCCTCTGTGGCCCCTGTTTTCCAACTTGAACCAATAACATATGAAAACAGTTGTGAGGCGTGTAGCCGCATCCTATAACACAATCATCGCAGTAAGGGATTGATCACAGTCAGTTGCCGGAAACTAGCATCCGAGACGAGATGGGTTCCCTGGTTTCTGACAATCTTGGGCTTCTCACGTTTTAGTGGATTATTTGTTGATCGACTAGAACCGTTTATTGAAGGATGCTAAACGAAAGCTAAGGCGTTTTGGAATAGATAGTGGGAAACGGAGCGGCTGATTGTGTATGACTATCGACGATTGATCGATTCGAAGATGTGATCAAATGTGAAATATTCAGTGGCGTTGTGGAATGCTTGTTTGTAATTTGTGACAGAGGATGAGCATCTGTATGGGTTGTAATATTGATATTCCATCATCGATATTATGTTACAACACTCACCCAGCCATCGACACAACCCGGTTTCCCCTCACCCCAGCATCCGGTATTCCCCTTTCCCGCATCCCACATCTCCGCAGCGCAGCTCTTTCGGCATCCCAGCATCCCAGTATTCCCCTCTCCCGCATCCCACATCTCCGCAGCGCAACACTTTCGGCATCCCAGCATCCCAGTATTCCCCTCTCCCGCATCAAACATCTCCGCAGCGCAACACTTTCGGCATCCCAGCATCCCAGTATTCCCCTCTCCCGCATCCAACATCTCCGCAGCGCGACACTTTCAGCATCCCATCACACAGGTATTCCCCTCTCCCGCATCCAACATCTCCGCAGCGCAGCACTTTCAGCATCCCATCACACAGGTATTCCCCTCTCCCGCATCCAACATCTCCGCAGCGCAGCACTTTCAGCATCCCATCACACAGGTATTCCCCTCTCCCGCATCCCACATCTCCGCAGCGCAGCACTTTCTGTATCCCATCACCCAGGTATTCCCCCCTACCGCATCCCACATCTCCGCAGCGCAGCACTTTTGGCATCCCATTACCCAGGTATTCCCCTCTCCCGCATCCCACATCTCCGCAGCGCAGCACTTTCGGTATCCCATCACCCAGGTATTCCCCCCTACCGCATCCCACATCTCCGCAGCGCAGCACTTTCAGCATCCCATCACCCAGGTATTCCCCCCTACCGCATCCCACATCTCCGCAGCGCAGCACTTTCGGTATCCCATCACCCAGGTATTCCCCCCTACCGCATCCCACATCTCCGCAGCGCAGCACTTTTGGCATCCCATTACCCAGGTATTCCCCTCTCCCGCATCCCACATTTCCGCAGCGCAGCACTTTCGGCATCCCAGCATCCCAGCATCCCCGCATCCCGCATCCCAGCATCCCCGCATCCCACATCCCAGCATCCCTCCATCCCACATTCCCAGCCTCCTCGTATCACGCATCTCCACGTCGAGCACCCCCGACATCTCTATATAACGGCATCCCCGCATTAGAGTTTCTCGATTGACGAGGTCATACAAATGTTATTAAAAACAAATCCAAAAATGCACTTTTCACAATGCACAATTTTGGAAATATCGGTATTAAAAAACAATTTGGACTTCCCTACTCGGGTAGGGACTAAAATACAGTAAACTACGATTATAACGAACACGCTTATAACGAACTGACGGATATAACGTACTTTTTTTTGGTCCCGAGCATTTGCTGTATATATCCTGTATATATGTTTATAATGAACTGCGGTAAAAACGAACTAAACTTAGTAGGCCCTTTACGTTCGTTATAACCGTAGTTTACTGTAACATAATTACAAACCATATGTACAAATGATGTAGATGTTGCTATCTGATGACCAATCAGCTGTCCACGGACAGATGGGGACATGTCTACAAGGGCTATTATGCAGCCTTCCACATTCGATACGCTTTGTGTATGGAGCGATATCGATGTATGGAGCTGGGGGGAATCAGTGTGCACACTGACAATCGGTAGCAGGCGCCAGTGAAAAACGTTATAACAGTATCTATAAAGCTGCACGTTTGCAACATATTTCAAATGTTATTGAAATATATGCAAATGAAACTTTGTCGTACCATCATATCGAGGGCAAAGCTGACCTTGCACGTGTCAGCCATGCTTTAAGGTCGTATTGGGTCCCCAGCACCGCTTCACGTGTCGTAAAATTGAAACACAGTCTTGGACTGCACTATACCTCGTTAGACAGCATACAACGTCTAGGGGCGGTCGGGTAGTGGTAGTGGTTAAAGCGTTCGGTCGTAACGCCGAAGACCCGGGCTCGATTCCCCACATGGGTACAATTGTGAAGCCCATTTCTGTTGTTCCCCCTCGTGATATTGCTAAAAGCGGTGTAAAACCATACTCACTCACTAAACAACGTCTCAACTATGCAAGGTTCGATTTTCCCATATAGGTACAATGTGTGCACCCCATTTCTGTCTCACTCACGCACGCACTCACTTATTATTTTTTATCATATCCAGCACACAATCTTAAAAATTAGTCGATCGCTAATATAATGAAGCAACACACTAAATGATCAAATGTATTTTGAATGTTTCGGTTAACCGTTTCCATGCTTTATTTTGTCTTTAAATATAGCAGTAGGTTTATAATTGAAAGAAGTATGTCAGAGCCACTCGTACATAAATAAATCATGCTTGGAATAAAATATAACTGCCTCACCCAAACACTGATTGTGGACTCAGTCTGTTGACTCGCTTGAAATCTTTCGTCTGACATTTTGTCATCTTTCATCTTTCATGATTCCTCACATTTGTTGGGGGGCACGGGTGGCCCAGTCGTCTAAGGTGCCGCGATTCGCTGTGCAGAGTTGCGTCCCTTGGGCACGCCAGAAACCTATGATTGTGGGTTCGAATCCCGGTTCGCCCAGATTATGTTTCTAGGTTTGTCAGCACGATACCCGTGCTCGTGGGTTTCACCGAAGTGGTAAATGTCTGAGACCTGCATCACTTCGGGCTTTCCTCCCACATTAAGCTGACACGCCGCGATATAACTGGAATCCTGTTAAAAGCGGCGTTAAACCCAACTCACTTACTCACTCACTCACTCACAACTGTTGTGCTCGTTAGGAGATGTATTCCTCAAATATTTATTTTTCGGATGAATATTAATGCATTTGACGTATTTCAAATGGTTGCTACAATCTTATGCATCCATTTTTTATGAAACTAAGGTGTTCTTTAAGATTTTGATAACTGTCTCTTCAGTGAAACCAAAGACATTATGAAATGATTTTATTAGATGGAAGGAAAGAAAACAGCCAAGCATATTGAAAAGAGAGTCTTGTCTCGCCATCGACAAAATCATTAAGTTAAAGAAATATTTAACAGCTTGGCTTAACGCCGATTTTAACAGTATTTCTTTTGTAACATCGTGGCAGCCTTGTGTGGGAAAACGGGAGCGTAAGGAGACCAATTCCATGAACCGAAATAAAATACAGTTGAATTGTTGAAATATGGACGGTTTAATTAGAACCCCTGCAATCCCACTCCCAGTTAGTGAGTCATGATGCGACAGACCCATCCGAAGTTAACAATACCAATCGTAGCACCTGTACTTAACGCTGACTAAGGGTCCTTGCCACTTGAAATAGAATCACGAAACGTCGCAATGACAAATTAATGAAGACAGTTGCTCGTGTGCAAATACTAATTAGGTAAAAATAAGTCATCCCGGCGGCATGAATGTTACAGTATTGACAAAAATTCCAAAGTACTCTTTTCAATAAATATCCATTTTGCAGGCGAATATATTTGTAGAGTCACAAACGCATGACTCATATGTATATTTGGAGAGGATCACAAACATATGCATCATACATTTGGAGAGTCACAAACATATGACTCACATATATTTGTAGAGTCACAAACGTTGGACGCACAGTCATATATTTTGAGAGTCGCAAAGGTACGACTCGAATACACCGAAGAGTCACAAACGCATGACTTTTTTGTATATTTGGAGAGTCACAAGCATATGACTCACATATGTTTGGAGAGATACAAACGTTGGACGCACATATATTTGGAGAGTCACAAAGGTACATCGCATACATCGAAGAGTCACAAACGCATGACTTTTTTTTGTATATTTGGAGAGTCGCAAAGGTATACCTCGCATATATTTGTAGAGTCACAAACGTATGACTCACATATACTAGGAGAGAGTCACAAACGTAGGACTCACATATAGTTGGAGAGAGTCACAAACGTACGACTCACATATTGTTGGAGAGAGTCACAAAGGTACGACTCACATATAGTTGGAGAGAGTTACAAACGTACGACTCACAGATAGTTGGAGAGTCACAAACGTACGACTCACGGATAGTTGGAGAGACACAAAGGTACGACTCACAGATAGTTGAAGAGAGTCACAAACGTACGACTCACAGATAGTTAGAGAGAGTCACAAACGTACGACTCACAGATAGTTGGAGAGTCACAAAGGTACGACTCACATAAAATTGGAGATAGTCACAAACGTACGACTCACAGATAGTTGGAGAGTCACAAACGTACGACTCACATAAAGTTGGAGAGAGTCACAAACGTACGACTCACATAAAATTGGAGAGAGTCACACTTGGAATCAATGAGTAAGAATCCCAAAATGATATCATTACACTTTAACGTGTTAAGGATTAGGATGGTTACGCGCTGTATATACATTCATAAATGAAAGTGTCCTTCAAAACACACAACCCGAGTACGTGTCTGGCGCTGTTTAAACATTCATATATGCAAGTGTCCTTCAAAACACACAACCCTGGTACGTGTCTGGCGCTGTATATACATTCATATATGCAAGTGTCCTTCAAAACACACAACCCTGGTACGTGTCTGGCGCTGTATATACATTCATATATGCAAGTGTCCTTCAAAACACACAACCCTGGTGCGTGTCTGGCGCTGTATATACATTCATACATGCAAGTGTCCTTCAAAACACACAACCCGAGTACGTGTCTGGCGCTGTATATACATTCATATATGCAAGTGTCCTTCAAAACACACAACCCTGGTGCGTGTCTGGCGCTGTATATACATTCATACATGCAAGTGTCCTTCAAAACACACAACCCTGGTGCGTGTCTGGCGCTGTATATACATTCATACATGCAAGTGTCCTTCAAAACACACAACCCTGGTGCGTGTCTGGCGCTGTATATACATTCATATATGCAAGTGTCCTTCAAAACACACAACCCTGGTACGTGTCTGGCGCTGTATATACATTCATATATGCAAGTGTCCTTCAAAACACACAACCCTGGTGCGTGTCTGGCGCTGTATATACATTCATATATGCAAGTGTCCTTCAAAACACACAACCCTGGTGCGTGTCTGGCGCTGTATATACATTCATACATGCAAGTGTCCTTCAAAACACACAACCCTGGTGCGTGTCTGGCGCTGTATATGCATTCATATATGCAAGTGTACACAACCCTGGTGCGTGTCTGGCGCTGTATATATATTCATATATGCAGGTGTCCTTCAAAACACACAACCCTGGTGCGTGTCTGGCGCTGTATATACATTCATATATGCAGGTGTCCTTCAAATAACATCATAAACCAAGATCAAAGCGGTTTCACTCCTGGCCGCTCAACCCTAGATAACCTCGCCCGACTAGAACAAGATATTAAGACAGGACAACTAAATAATCAATATACCACAGGCATCTTCTTAGACTTCTCTAAAGCTTTCGACATGGTATGGCACGATGGGCTAATACAAAAACTTTAAAAAATAGGACTCAAAGGTCAGATAATAAACTACATCCAGGACTTCCTAAACAATCGTAAGATAACCGTGGGTATAGACCAAACTCTATCGGACCAATGTCCCCTAGAAAATGGCACTCCACAGGGCAGTATCCTCAGCCCCACCCTCTTCAATATAATGATAAACAGGGTATGAAACTCCCAAAAATTTCAGCCAGACCACAGGACTGGCTAGCTGAAATACTTGCCAGCCCTGACCAAAACCCGCCTGCCAACTATCATATGTTTCTCAGGATAAGCTAACGGGGTTTCTTTTTGGTTACGGGCGGTCGGGTAGCCTGAGGTTAAAGCGTTCGCTCGTCACGCCGAAGACCCGGGTTCGATTCCCGACATGGGTACAATGTATGAAGCACATTTCTGGTGTCCCCCGCCGTGATATTGCTGGAATATTGCTAAAAGCGGCGTAAAACCATACTCACTCACTCACTCTTTTTGGTTACATTTTATCATTCATCTTTACATGTGAATTAATTATTATCATCGGGAAATATATAGAATATTGTCACATATGAAATATAACCCGACCGTCGGGCAGGGGGATTTGAAAATCTGGCAGCCCGAG